TCAATTCTGCTAGACACCACTAACACCTGGGGAGAGGCTCCATCTATTGGAGGGGAGCGTCACCTGCTGGAAAACGGGTCCAGCGTCCCATATTCAGAAAAAGGGACGTCTGAGAGTTCTCTCATTGCTCCCGCACCTTCGGTACTGTAGCGGCTACAACTTTGACCCTTCTGGACTGTAGCAGCTACGACCCTGACTCTTCGAGAAGGCTACAGCTACGACCTTTAGACCTGACTAGGACTCCTATCCGACAGGTCCACAGATCGAACCCATGGTACCTTTGGACCCTATGGCATCCTATCGACTGCTAAAAATACACAGGTCGTGGGTTCAACTCTACGGGTCGACACAGGTACTGTACACAGGTGAGGTAGGGACTAGGGATTGAGCCCTGGGATCTGCATCAGCTACTGCGAACTGGTGAATGCCGTTTCAGAAGAGCTGCATCTGACATCCCAGAATGAAAAGCTGCATCTGACAAGCCAGGGACTCTGACGAGGAACTTTTCATGGCCGCTCGTCGGGAAAGTGGTAGTTTCAGGCTTGGGCGTTTGCGAAGGGTAAAGGCATGGGGATTCTCTCTTACGAGATGGCCAGATAGCCATCCGTTTGCTTCAACTCTTCAAGATCAAGCCAGTGCTCTTTTTCTGTTCAATTCTTGAAAGATTGATATCCTTTATAGCTCCCAGAGTTGGTTGAAGTGTTGTGGAACTGACATAACATGAACATGTGAACTTAAGATCAGTCCGATCCACTGTTAATAACATATAATAATGCGATAGATGTAGAAGATGTCGCTGCAGTCTCAGCTCACCATGTTTCCTCTGGATGTTCTCTAGGGGCCGCTTTCTGCTGCGAGTGTTTTGAAATGCTTTCTAAGACGTGAATAGTTCTGAATGCCCCTCTGTTGACTTCCTTCATCGACTCAATGCAGAAGATAGTACTTTTGTGTGGTTGTGTGTGCTTTTCTGTGTGCATATCCACACGTGCAGGCTTAGATATGCTGCCAAAGAAATAACACAGGTGGAGAAGTGTGCAGTGTTGAATATGTCCCCGACCGTTGATGTAGTACGTTGAGGACACAGCCTCCAGTGTGGCTTCCTAGTCGTTCTGTATGATTGCAATTGTTTGTGACGTTCTGATACTGGTGCCCCTTGTATTTCGTGAGTAGGTCACGTGCATGTCGTACGGTTGGTTCTTGTGAAGCTTGTGGAGTTGTGGTATGTTTTTGAGTTGACATGTCCTGCATCTTGCCTCCGTATGGAGGGTGATGATTAGTTTGTTCTAGTGTTTGGTATTTGTGAATGTCGTTGACCGGTCTTGTGGGTGCCTTCCTGTTGTCTTTGTCTTGTGCATTGATGGTTGCAGGGGACCCTCTGCCCGAAGGGGCATGACCGTTCTTGGGAAGATTCCTGCTGTTCCTAAGCCGATAAATTTGCCAAGCCAAAGGTTGGAACCGGAAGTGCTCTCTGTTTTCTGAAATGATGCTTCTAGGAGTAATATTTGAAATGCAAAGGCAGGAGCAGAATAGGGAAGGAGGGTGTTGATTCGTTTGCTCGTTTTTATAGGCTGGTTAACTGGAGGGTTTCCCTTACCTGGCCACAGATATGGGAGGCCCTGTCAAGCCAAGGTCCGAATCAGAAGTGCTTTCTGTTTCTCAAGGAGTGATATTTGAAATGCAAAGGGGGGTGCTAATTCATTTTCCCGTTTTGATAGTCTGGTTAACTGGACGGTTTCTCCTATCAGGCCAGAAATCTGGGATCCCCCGAGGTTCAAATCTCGATAAGGGTCTGGTTAATGACGGGTCCATCTGGGCTGTCTGCATGTGCGTCTGCTTGGTTGTCTGCTTAAGCTGTGTGCTCCCTGCGCTGCTTGCAATTCTGGGCCAGAATGGGAGGTCCCTATGTGTGCGACAGGAGGTTTTGAATTATCGTAGTTTGAGATATTCGGGTGCTGAACAAAGAAGTAGAAAAGAACTTGTGTCTGCGCTTGCCCTAAGAGTCGTTTTTTTTTCCTGAGAATTATGAAGGGTGATGATAGATTTTGCCCCAAAAGAGCAAGTGAAGTCGCGGGGCACATCCCTCGTTGGCTGATGGGAGGAAGCTGGGAGCCTATTCTAGTTCATTTGCATTGGTTCAGGCAATGTGAGAGTGGGGATTCTGAATGCAGGGAGCAACAGTGAATTTTCAGATGATGCTGGTGATCCGTGAATGAGAAGATGATGATGATGATGATAATGATGATGATAAACGAAAAGGTTGGAAAGGTAGAATTTCACAAACCACATCACCAGGTCTGGTGCTGAGTAGCAGGATCTGGGAATGAGTTTTGAGTTAAATGCAGTGGTGATTGAAATAATCGCAGTCACTGGTTGGAGGATTGAAGTGGGAAAGAAGGTTAAATGTGTGTGCTTGTTCCAAGAGATGGGTTGGGAATGTTTGGGGGTGTCAGGTCCTCTCATCTACCTCGAAGTTGCTGAGGCCAACAGAAAACTTCGAAACAGAATACACCCTGTGGAGTTCAACGTAAAGGAAACATGGGCTTATCATATTTCAGCACAAGTCATCTTACACCACTAAGCTCTTTCCACAAACGATCCTGATCCTTTCGAATTGAGCCGAAGTGATACTAAGTCTTCCAGGGTTTGGTCAAGTCAGTCAGCATGGTTCACAGAGGGATGTGCTTAAAGACTGGACACAGCAGCAATAGAGTAAACAGAGGAAGGAAGAGAAACAGACTGGATAGAACAAGACGAAGAGGAAGATGGATGCACGTGGATCTGAGCTCCTTTCAATGAGCATCTCATCATGGCTGGTACAACATTGAACAATTTGAAGAATGTTGCTGGCGGTGGCAGACACTAGGAGTGTACCAATGCAATAGCTATTGTTACAGAGACACAACTGCTGGGGTGGGGACTGTGCCTGAATAGCGTCTATCTGAAAGAAGACTGCCTGCGTGCACCAGAGGTCACAACCCATGACCAGAGAGCCTTTACGGCAATGGATCATGGAGTGTACTTGAGGCAATGGTGAGTATGGAGTTACTGAAGACACAATAGGAATAGGAGATCACCATGGAATGAGGTCTGGGAATGTAAAAGAGGAAGTTGATAGAGTGCATTGCATCCTATGCGTGGTTCTCAAGATGATTACAGTGGAATTAGCTCAACAGTTTAGATCTTGTGATTCTCAGACGCTCCAGACCGCATCTACACGTCCTGAAGCAGATCTTCAGGTCCAGACAAAGTTCTTCAGTTCAACAGTTTAGATCTTGTGATTCTCAACAGTTTGTCTTGGGCAGGGTTATCTTTCGTGCTCTGAATGTGAGCATACTCCCAGTATCACATTGGTCGTTTGTGGTTGACCAATTTTTCTCTAATCAGGCACTGACTCGTGTGTTTCCAGTGTGGCTCATGGAGTGATCTTTATTGGTTGCCTGGAGTTGCGAGCAATCTATGGTATGCTTCCAGTGTCTAATCGTTGTACGCATCTATCAAGACTCGTCTTTCGACTTTCAGGAGCCTATCTTCGTCCGATGGAAACTGGATTGCACATATGTCGGTTGCATGTGGTTTGCTTCCTTTGCCTTTCATGAATGTGTGAGGTGTTGCCAACATGTGAGGTGTCTTTTGTGTGTAATTTGCAGGTTGGAGAACAGGGGTCTGGACCCAAATGTGGAGATTGTTCCAAGGTACACACTCTATAACGAGAGGTTCTTTGCTCCGTTTGCAGGAACTCTCTCCGCACTTCCCCCCATTCTACTGTTCCCTTCTCCTGGCGTTGCTTATGACCTGTCCAATGGCAAAATTTCGAACGTTTTTGCTTGTTGGTTTGGGCTTGTTTTTGCATGCAACTTCAAAATGGCATTGGAAGCTGCACTACTTGGCAAGCTCACTTGGGCACCCATGGGCTTTAGCTGGGCAAATTGTAATAGAGCTCAGTTTTGACAGGGTCACTTCAAAATGTGTGATTAAAATCAGGATTGAAAGGAAAAGGAATGAACAGAGGTCACATATGATCGCTCCGCTAATGCCCGTTAAACCGGTAGTACATGGCTCCAGCCTGTTGGAGAATTGTTCGGCACCTACTCCTAAAAAGTTGGGGCCGGTGCGCCATTGATAAAAACACATCAGTGGCCAGCGTCACGTTTTGGCCCTCAAAAGAGGCCTGCGGCTGATGTATCGGGTGTGCTGGTGGTTTAAAGCATAAGAACACCACATATCGGCCTGGGGGTGTCAGCATGAAACTTGCACCACTTTGGAGGCTGCCAAATTTGTTTTTTCAACGGTGGGCCTGGCTGCGTGGTGCCTCCGAGTTTTGCTTGTGGCGACAAAAGCCTTTCTGCAAGGCTGGGGCCGTGTACTAGCGGTTTAAACTAGCAGTCCGTGGAACCCTTCTGCGAACCTCTGACATCCTGAATGAATTTAACTGGGCGCAGTCCGGTGTGCACATCCACAAATTAGTCAGCGTGTTAAACCACCACCACTTTTTTAGGCGACGTGGAGAATTGAGACTGTAACATTCCGGGTTCTTTGGATGAAGCATGCTACTGGACCGCAATGTCTGGCGGTGCCAGCCAACAGTAAATAGAAATGCTGAGTGGGCACTTTGGCAAGGCTTGGCGCACAGCTCTTTTCAAACTCGGCAAGAAAGAGACTCTGAGATAGTGGTGGTTTAACCATCACACCTTTCTCACTAACTGGTGCTTTTAAGCAGCTAAATCACCGGAGGGAAAAACTGTGCTTTGTACATCTGTCGTGGCAGGTTCTGATTCAAAGCAGCAGCACCTTCTGCAACTTGTGCTCATATTTTTTTCGTCTCGCTCTGCCGTGCATTGTGCTGTGTACACCAGTCTGAGGCTTGACTCTCTACTCAATGTGCCGACCCTACCCGTAGACCCCTTGCAGACAGCTGTGCTCTAGGGAATGTAGCAGGCGCAATGACAGGTTATGTCCACTCTTCCTCCCTCCCGCCCTCATTTGGCATCCTTCGTACACGGTCCCAAGGCAAGGCTGGATTTGAACGACTGTGGCCAGTTCAGATGTAAGAAAGAAGTCTGGTGTTTTTCATTGTTTCCTAAGTAATTCAGCCCTGTACTTCATTTGCCTGATTTCCCCAGGTGGGTGGTGTCTGGCCTACCATCACCAAGTTTGTGGAGGTCGGTGACTGTGGTAGCCTAGGTGTAGACATCGGTATTTCTTCATTGCCATTGTGGTTTTCCTTCTGGTAGTCATCAAGTGATCAAATCCGACTCTTGTGACCGTCCACGGCGGGTATTCTGTACGGGCTATCTATTCTATGTTCTTGGAACCCTGAATGACTGTCCTCCGGTCCTCTGGACAGCTAATGACCGGAGGACAGCTCGTCTACAATAGTGTTGGAGGCAGCAATGGAAACAATGACCAGGCGAGTTCTGCTGAGTCTTTCTCAGGCAGCCCCGTCTGTGCTCCGGTGGTGTTGAGCTGAAAAATGGGTATAGTTGGTAACTCCTAAAAATGTCTTCTTTGACCCAGACCAATCGGAATCAGAAAGTGGATCGCGGCCAGTCCTGTCTGCATTGGTTCGTATGCTGAATGTCTATAGATATAATACTTGAAGCAGTGCGGTTCTGATGCATTTATATCAGCTTCTGTCTATTGGACGGGCTAATGCATTGACTATGCTTCCCCTATAACTATCATGTTCAGGTGTTTGTGCAACTTTTCCAGCAACTTTTTCCGAAATTCCTTCTTGTATGGTCAGGGCTTCTCCCATTAGAACAGCTTGCACATGATCGGATTCTAATTTGCAGTGTGAATACAAGCAGGCATCCTCCCTGCTGAACAGAAACACGAACGCGACTGACTAATTTATTCTTGTGCGAGTAAGGGTAGTGCTGGGCACCAAACGTGGCCTTGCCATCTTTTCTCTGTCAACGTTTCTACTAGGGTAGGCATTTTTGAACCACCATGCATTGGTTTCATATGATGCATATGGTCACCCCCCCATGCATTGAAAAGGTAGGCTCAAAGGTAACGTTTTGACCAAGCTCGTGACCGGCTCCAGAATAGTTCAGGACCGAGGGATGGTGGTTTGTCGTAGGTCTCAAGCTTGGGCAGGCTTTCATCATTACACTCTATAGCTGCGTTTTGCAGTAGTACCGTGAGCCACCTTTGCTCGCCTTCGTTGCACTTGAGGCTATTGTGTTAATCTAACCCAGCTTGAAAATTGATATTGATAGGTAATCTGTGGAAGTACGTACGCTTCCCGTGAGAAAAAAAACGCGTGAAACTTCTAATGGCCCTGAGCCTCTTTCACACATGTCCTGGTGATCCATGCTTGCAAAACAGATCCCTTGTGGGAATCAGCTTGTAGATGAGTCTTCCTCCTGATTCTGGTGCTGTTCATTCTTGAACAGCACTTCTACTGACCAATTGCATGGAGGTAAACAGGGTGGTAAAAAAAATGCCCTCTCCATAGTATGGATTGTTTAACACGGCCAGTTGAAGATGTGTGGAGGTGTTCACATACAATGTATATTGGCTTGTAGATGAGTCTTCCTCCTTGGCAATAGGCTGTAGCAAGATGGGGTTAGGAAGATAGTACGCATGGGAAAGCAGTCTTGGGATGGGTGACTGATTGCATCTTGGAGAATCAGAGAGTGAATGCTGTCCTCTATGAAGCTCGCGCTCAAACAGAAATGCTCGCCTTGGTCATTGCATCTAGTAGTCCGTCAAGACTGGAGCTCTCTTCCAGGCATTTTTGTCAGTGTGTGAAATACGTTGTAATTCTCACTGGTATTTTGCTTTATTGATGCTGATGCGTAATGACAGGGGCAGCATATCATGGGGATCTGTCTCCTCGTCAGCGAAGTCGCCACCAGTTGGAGGGGGTGGTGCATGGGGACAAGGTGGCCGGCAGCTTTCAGCATCTCCTCCAACGACAGCGAATGCATGGGGCCAGCAAGGGAGTCGTCCGAGTCCTGCTGCTGTAGCCAGCGCTGGGGTTACACCTTCATCGACTACAGGAGCATGGGGACAGGGATCGGTGTCAAGGCCATCATCAGCAGGGAGTGTTGGGCAAGGCCAGGTGCCAGACCGTGGCACTGTGTCTGTCGGTCCATCCTCTAGGCCTTCCTCTGCATCAGGAATACCGTCAAATGCGCATTCACAAGGAATGCCCCCACGCCCGAGGACTGCAGATGCTAATTCCGTGGGGCCTCCAATGTCCAGATTTGCAGATGTTGCTGCAGCTTCGCAGCCGAATGCATGGGGTATTCATCGAGGTCAGGTATGTATGCCAGTTCCTGAAATCTGTTAATCATCCAATGACGGAGTCGAGTCTTGTTTAGTCGTAGTTGACGACTGATGTCTAGATCACACGCTTGTTGTTATGCCCTTGCTTGATTTGCTCACTTCAGTTCACATCATTCCTCATCATCAGTATTCAGGCTTGATGGAGAAGCACGCTCAGCTGATCCCATGTTTTACTCAGAACTGAAGTTTGTGATACACACGCCAGTTATTGATGAAATCTATCGTAACTTGTGAAAACCTGGGGGCCAGGCTGACCTTCACACTCTTCATTGAAGGGTACTGAAACTGATGCTGTGTAGCAGCAGAATCAACTGGCCATGAGTTTTGCCTAAAACTGGCTCAGCGCACTAAAACTGCCCGGCTGTTCCAGCCCAATTTAAATAATTCGAAAATGCTAATGGCCGTCTGGCCGTCACTTTTAGCGAGCGGTGCTTTCCCAAGGCCCGTCACTCTTGACGGCTAACGCATTTCCCAAGGCTGCCAGGTCTGCCTGATGAAAAAACTAGAATCAACTAGTCTGAAACAATGGTATACGCCTAACAGAGACACCAAAGATGTTCGAAGTTCAAAACTCGTGAGGTTCAGAACATCACAGAAAAGCAACACAGCTATACGTATTGTGTAGCAGTCTGAACTCCCAAGTCTTTGGTGAGAGCAAAATGACAAACAACTTGGAATTCAGTAAAGAATTGGGGCAGCTGGCGGCTTCAGATCCCTGTGTCCCAACGCCTGTTCCCAGGATAGGAGATGGCGCCTGTTCTCAGCAGACGAGAGAATATAAGAATCACAACAATCAGCAAGTACAAGAACTATGTAACCTGTGCCTGTAGGGCAATCTGGGATGCCTTGGAAGTGTAAATCCACGAGCTCTGACCGAGGCGGCCATCAGCAGTATGATCGGTCCATTTGCAGGAGTCACAGAGGGAGCTCCAATGCAGATGCTGTCCTGCAATGCAACCAAGTACAGAAAAAACTGCCCGTCATGGTTTGCACAGGACATGGACTTCCTCACCCTCTTCCCTCCCTTTGTTGATCCCACAACAGCAGCCTGGGATCCTACTCCCTCTCTGTATGTATAATATGGTCTGGGTGATGGATGTGGGCTGGGGTGTGGCCCCCGCCCTAAGGGAGAGCCCATGTACCTGCAAATATTCACACAGGACTCCCACGGAGAACGAAAAAAAGAGCACACCGTGGCACCGCGAGGTTGTACTATGTGGGCTGGGTGGTATTATGGGGCGTGGGTAATGATAGGTGGGTTAGTTGGTACCATGTGCGTTAGGTGTTCTGGCTGCGGATACCTTGCGGGGTTTGTCATACTAAGTGGATGGGATGCCACTATGTAGATTTGGGTAGGCAGGTGGTTCGATGTGGGCTGGGTTGGGGTTATCTCGGTGATGATATGTGGTCCAGGCTGCAGGACCTTCCCCAGCGGTGCTCTGCATCAAAAGGAGAACAAAAGAGGACTTGCCCCTGAGGGAGAACATTTGTTGGAAGCCCCTTTTGCTGTGCACTTGTATTCCACTCCCCCCTCCACTTTTATAACAAGGAGGGTAGGCACATAAATTAGGGCAACGGGCTCTTGAAGGAGATATGGTTGACCAACGGCCGTTTTCTTGGTGGGATTCTGTGTATAAGGGGGCCTTGGCCATATCAGATAGATAGATATAGATAGATAGAAGGAATTAGAGAGCATCCCGTTCTCGAGAGTGGCTGCATGCTCTACCAGGCTCTACCTGGACTGGCTGTAATCAGGCATGTCGAGTCAATCTCATTTTGAAACTGTGAGTTTTCACTACACTTGAACCAATTGTCGCAAGTTAGGGTAGCCACATGAGCACTTGTGCCACTGGGCTCCTAAGGAGATGGGCAACCAGTCATTTACAATTTTTGGATTCTGACTGTGTAAGGTGTCTTTGCTATCTTAGATGCATGGATAAATAGAAGCAATAAGATAACATCCTATCCATTGCAAGAGCGGCTGTGCACTCTGCCTGGAGTTGGTATTATCTGGCATACGGTTTCTATCCTATTTTGAAACTGGGAGATTTTGCCTCATGTGTCTCGATCTAGTTAAGCAAAGTTTGCTGTTGAACTCAATTAAGTCCAAATTGATAAAATAAATGTAATGAACGTATACTGTCATGTAGTACTAGTATAATCTTAAACCACCGTTGCCAGGTGGCTTGTTTTCTGCTGAAAAAAAAATCCAATAGACTGCGTATCAAACTAACGGCAGGGAGGCTCATATCCCTACACTATTAAAATCGCTGACGTGACAAATCTGAAATACGGGCTGTCGTTGATCCTAGCGCAGATCAACTGAACCATGTAACGAATCTGCGATCTGGGCTGTCGGGTCCTACCAGCCCGACGGCCTGGATCGACGCAGTCTTAAGATCTTAAGATCGTGCGCGAATCCAGGCCGCCGGGTCCTGCTGGATCGACAGCCTGGATCGAGGCAATCTTAAACCACGAGTACTTGCCCCAGCTATCGGCCGAGGAAAAAAATAGAGTAGAAACGTTTCTAGTTGGATGAATTTGGGCACTCCTGTACTGGCCCGTACGTTTCCTAAAATTGTGGCGCGTTAATGGGCACGACTTTAGGACGTACTGGTGGTTTAAGATCAAAATACTGCACGTAGACCCAGGCCCTTGGCCCGGTACCTCGGGGTAAACGGTCCGAGGGCCCAGTTCGCAGGCAACTTTGGGTACCTCACTTCGCCTTTGTTTGTTGCAATCGCATCACGCCATATTTTATTCAGCATTGCGTCTACGCGTCCATGAAAAACAAGAGAATGTTGGGCACATGTGGGCCCTTTTCCCTCCAGCACTGCAAAAATGAGTTCCCATTGTGCATGATTGGAGAGAGAGAGAGAGAGAGAGAGAGAGTTTCACGGTGCCATTCTGCACCCCC